GGGAGACACCGATACAGGAGTAAGGAGGCAGAAATAAGGGAATGCCACAGAACACAAACGGAGGCAGACAGGCAGAGAGAAATAAGCGGGAGAGCAATGCATAAAGACAGACAGGTATACGGGAGCACAGGTGTGAGACAGGCAGACAGGTACGCGGGTATAGCGAGGACAACGGGACCCAGTTTTTGCCATGAAAAGAATGAAATCATGATCTTACTGTGAGAGACACAATTCCCCCCACAAGCACACACACACACATACACTCGCTGTCGTCAGACACAGACTCTGTGTCTTTAAGGAAATCTCCTCCAACTGCCGCCAGCGATTTGTCCCTTTTTTCCCAGTTGGGGAAGAAACAACAATGGTTTCTTCCCCTGGTTTAGGCCACCGGAAAAAAAGTTTCATACATATATCAAAACGTTTTAAACATATATGTATTGTTTCATTACACAAATACTGTTGGAAAAATATTAGTTTGAATAGACCTCGTAGTGATAATTGTGTCATTGACAAAATACCTTATAAAGACTGTAATAGGTTCAATGTAGGGCAAACATCCAAATTTTTAAATTTTCGAATTTCGCAACATAAATACTCTCTAAGACACGGCCAATTGTTTAATGCTTTATTTGTTCACTTCTCAGAAAGTTTTCAAGCAAATTGAGTGGGCGATGGCTTCTTCAATAACCAATTGTAAAATCATTTTCAATAGAAATATTATTAAATCTGCTTTAATACAGATTACATAATCATGTAATTTGAACATTTGTATAAATTTAGATCCATTTTTTGATTGATCAATTAAAGGGCGATTTGAGTGGGATCATTGGTACACAATTATCTCAATAATACCTTATTAATATCCTCTTATATCATTACAAACATTGTTTCTCACATCACCTCATTCCTGTCTATATATCCACACCATGGAACAGTAAATCTTTATGGGCTATTCATGCCCGTGCCACCTCTAAGGTGGCTTAATCTTCATCAATCAATCTGTAAATCCATCCTTCTGAAGATGTATTATTGAATACGAAAGTACTAAGGAAATTCTTAATCCTTCCTCTGTGGTCTGACACTGTCATATATATATATAATATAGTAACAGGATTGACTTGAGAATGGTCCAGGACGGACCGAAACGTCGTCGTCTCTTCGCTTTCTAGTGTGTGGTCTGGTCAACATATTTCAGCCACGTTATTGTGACTCCTCGTCTGCATAGTAACAGGGTTTTCTACGCGGGTTTGACTAACGGATAGCAGAGTAGACAGTAGAGTGGAGAATTGGCCAGGTGTGGAGGTGAACAGGTGGGCGAAGAGGGAAATTGATTGGCATGAGACGACGGGTGAGCAAGTTTCAGGTCACCCAAGGATGAGGCGAGTTTGGACCAGTAAGATTTTTTTGTGTATATATATATATATAACTTACCGCCGTTTGAGATAGTTTATTGCTAAGGGAGGCCGCTGGTGGGACGCTAAGCCGTTAACAACACATACAAAGAACTATACTTACTGAAAAGAATATATAAATATATATTTTTTTCCTATTTTGGAAGGGGTCCACAATTCTTTATCTAGGTCGGCCGTGGTCCTAATGGGCGTACAAACTTCCATGTCTAGGGCTGCCTTGGACCTCCTTAGACTAGGTCTCTACACTTCCTTGTTCAGGGTTGTTGCGGGTTTTGTGAATTGGGACGTTATTGTTGTTGTTTTAGATTTAGCTACTCAGAACGAAGTGTCCATGTAGCAGGGGGACGTCCGGAGGCTCTTGTAACCAGGGCGGCGGAGGATCGGAAGTGTGAGATGCGAATACTCGAATCCTTAATTACTACCAACGAAGGGAAGAGACGGTGAGACAGACAGCTCTACACACCGAGACGGAGGCAGATAGACAGATCTACACACACAGACGGAGGCAGATAGACAGATCTACACACACAGACGGAGGCAGATAGACAGATCTACACACACAGACGGAGGCAGATAGACAGATCTACACACACAGACGGAGGCAGATAGACAGATCTACACACACAGACGGAGGCAGATAGACAGATCTACACACACAGACGGAGGCAGATAGACAGATCTACACACACAGACGGAGGCAGATAGACAGATCTACACACACAGACGGAGGCAGATAGACAGATCTACACACACAGACGGAGGCAGATAGACAGATCTACACACACAGACGGAGGCAGACATACAGGCTCGAAAAGACAAATAAAAACATTCACAGACACACAAAAACAAGACTTCAGTAAATAAACCACTCGCCTCACACTTAAGTGAGTGAGTCACACTTGAAAGGAAAGTGGCCGACGTTTCGGTCCGTCCTGGACCGAACTTAATATGAATTTTTTAATATCCATCCTGGCCTTCTTAATATGACGACATTTCGGTCCGTTCTGGACCCCTTATATGACGACATTTCGGTCCGTCCTAAACGTTTATATTACGACGTTTCGGTCCGCCCCGGAAGCTTGTCAGCA